AACTTAATTTTTATAGAAACTCTTTCACAAGACCTAATGTCTTTAGTATATCCAGTATGCATTAGGCTAACCCTATTGATTTGTACACTTCCCCTAGGGAGAGATAGTCAGGATAGCATAATAGAATAAGGACAAATTCATGTTTAGAAAAGATATTTTTCTCACAGCATTAAAAACCAGAACATCCAGAAAAGCAAGGCTGCATCTCGACTCTGGCCCTTTTCCCATCTGCTTCAGCATATGTTTTAAGGCTTGTGCTCTATTACCTCAGTCATGAGCTATTTTTTTCCAAAGGAAGCTGAAATAAATTGAGGAAAAAAAATAGTCCAGCTTTCCAACATTGACTCTCATACGGCTTTCAGTGCACACTGTGTAAATGAAAGATTTGCTTTACAGCTCTTGCAAAGAGAAAAGTCAATATGAGCCAGCTGCTTTGTCCCAAGAGCAGAAGAGCACCTGATGTTATTCCCATTGTTGTCAATGCTCTTGTAAAGGTGCGGAGGTCTTAATACTGGTGGCAATGGTTTCCAAACTTTGCTGCACATTGAAACCACCTTAGGATCATTAAAAAGTACAAACGTGACCAGGTGCAGTGGCTCATGCCTATAATCCCAGCACTTTGGGAGGCCGAGGCAGGTGGATCACCTGAACTCAGGAGTTCGAGACCAGCCTGGCCAACATGGTGAAAACCTGTCTCTACAAAAATTAGCTAGGCATAGTGGTGGGCACCAGTAAGCTCAGCTACTTGGGAGACTGAGGCAGGAGAATTGCTTGAACCTGGGAGGTGGAGGTTGCAGTGAGCCAAGATCATGCCATTGCACTCCAGCCTGGGTGACAGGGTAAAACTCTTGTATAAAAGGAAAAGTACAAATTTTTGGTCCCTAGTCCCAAATATTCTCATTTAATTGGTCTAAGAAGCAATCTGGACATTGGGCCTTTAAAATTTTTCTCTAAGTGATTTTAATGTGCATCAAAGTTTGAAAACCACTGCCTTGGCAGCCAGTTTACTAACAAGAGCGAGCACTCAATTTCTCTAGTCTAAAAGGTGAATTTCACCCAGCCCCAGACATTAAAGGCTCCATATTCAGTTTGGTTCAAAACCAGGCTCTGACCCTGTATTAGTCCCTTCTCATGCTGCTAATAAATAACATACCTGAGATTGGGTAATTTATAAAGGAAAAAGGTTTAATTAATTCACAGTTCCACAGGGCTGAGGAGGCCTCAGGAAACTTATGATCATGGTGTAAGGAGAAACAAACACATCCTTCTTCACACAATGGTAGGAAGGAGAAGTCCTGAGCAAATGGGGAAAAGCCCCTTATAGAAACATCAGATCTCATGAGAACTCACTCACTATCACAAGAACAGCAGCATCGGGGTAACTGCCCCCATGATTCCATTATCTCCCACTGGGTCCCTCCCATGACACATTAGGATTACAGGAATGACAATTCAAGATGAGATTTAAGTGGGAACACAACCCAACCATATCAGACCCTTACTTAGCTATGTCCCCTTGGGCATGTCATTTAACCTCTCTGAGACTTAGTTTCTTCATTAATAAAATGGGAACAACAATATTTAATTCAGAGAGTTCTATGAAGATAAATGACATGTGGATATAGCATATCTATCACCTTTGTGTTTTAAATTGTTTCTGGTATACCTATCAGTTAGGTTTAGAATCCATTAAAGTTTGGGTCTTTCAAATAAATGATTCATTTTCACTAAAAAAAAAAAATGCAGAGATAAATCTATGGCATTTATATGTTTTTTAAAGATGTAGTTTCCTAGTTTGGATTCCATGCTCACTGGGCAATCTTCTAATTGCAATTTGGCTTCTGTACAGAAAGCTTTCATCTATTTACTCATTGACAGATACTTCCGTAGTGCTTACTATCTGTCAGTCCTTGTTTTGGCATGAAGGTACATCAGAAAACAACATATTTCTAAGGGAAGAAGACAATATACTTAATAAATTGTATGCTACAATAGAAGAAAAGTAGTCACCTTCTGATGGACAAAAAGCATAAAAGAGGATGAGAATGATGGGGTATTCTGTTATAAATTAGGGAGACTGTCACAATCATATATGTTATGCCCATGAGATACTAGCCTCTCAATGAATTGCAGTCCAATTTTCTTTAAGTTGTAGTAAACTCATTCTCTGTTGCGAGTTGATAATGTCAATATAGTGAATAAAATAGCTTTTCACACATTACATACTTTTAAAAATTCCACACCATTTTTATAGGTAATTGTTTCCTAAACAAAAAGCAGCCTAATACAGTAATGCTGAGACCTCTAATTTATTTTTTCTTCTGTGTCAGGATCTGGCTGTGTTGCCCAAGCTGGAGTGCAGTGGTACAATCTTGGCTCACTGCAACCTCCACCTCCTGGGCTCAAGCAGTCCTCCCACCTCAGCCTCCTAATAGCTGGGACTACAGGTGCACACCACCACGCCTGGCTGATTTTCTTTTTCTTTTTTCTTTGTGGTAGACATGGGGTTTTTCATGTTGCCCAGACTGGTCTCAAATTCTTGGGCTCAAGTGATCCGCCCATCGCAGCCTCCGAAAGTGCAGGGATCACAGGTGCAAGCCATAGATCTCGGTCAAGCCCTCTATTTCAAACTGTCTTATACTGAGTTCCCTCCAAGGCATGCACTAAGAGAAGGATTTGAGATGAAGAAGCTTACTTTGGAAGTGACCCCAGGAAGCACCACTGCAGGGTGGGGACATGAACAGGAAGGGAAATAAGCCAATACGAGGTGTGTTAATGAGCAAGCTTCAGCATCGGCAACTAGAGCTCAATCCTATTGAAGACTTCTGGGAAACAGTAGAACACACCTGAAGAACAAGGAAGCTAATACATTGATCTACCCATTTCATCCACCATCAGCTGAGAGTTGCTCTATTAGCTGTCTATGAAGAGGGAGGCATGAGAGTGGGCAACGTCTGCCCCACTGTGGCAAAAACTTCTTTTTATTTTTACTCTCCTAACTTGGAATTTTTATTGCAGTGTTTAAACAGACTAAGCTATGGTTTCCCTTATCCCAAATAAGCTCTAACATCATGACATGATATCAGAGGAGGTAGTAGAAAAAATGCTTAAAATTATTTAAAGAACAAGACTATTTTTGGACATACATACTCAAAAGTTTCAGAAACCCTAACTACCTAATGTGTGAATGACAAATTGTTATTCATTAAAGCGAGCCCTATGGGGATCACTAGTTTGATTTAAACTCTTTAAAATAATGAAGTTGCATTGTTTAGAAATGGTCTGCTCTAAGTTTTCTTTCTTTGTTCAAAATGCCTTATGTAACTGAATTAATTTGAATAGAAAACACTGCATTTTAAAAAGCATTGTTTTTGTATTTATGTATTAGTAGAAATAGGGTCTCACAATATTATGCAGACTGGTCTTGAACTCCTGGCCTCAAACAAACCTCCCACCTCAACCTCCCAGACTGCTGAAATCAAGGCAGTTTCTATACCAACTATTGAAGTAAATAAGTACTAAAAATTGTGGCTCTCTTTGGGTGTTCGTTCATTCAGCCCTTTTTGCGTAGGAGTCTCTGTGCTTCTTTGGGGACCAGATGGCACAGATCTTCAGTGGTAAGGCAAGAGTGGGCTTCAAGATTAGGAAAAACGATGCTCAGAAAGTCACTTAGGTAAATGCAGTGGGGGAAGCTGGAACATGGGCAACTCTTAGAGCAGTGTTATTAGACATGGACAGTAGTTGGAGGTACCCAGGTTCAAACCTGGCTCTGCTACTTACTAGCCATGTGATCTTCAGCATATGACTTTCTCTCTGTGTGCTTCGGCTTTTTCATTTGTAAAATGGTGATGATAATAGGATTGCCTCAAAAAGTTGTTGTGAAGAATAAACGAGATAAGGCATTTTGGAGCATAAAGCAGTCCCTGGCACATGATAAGCACACAGTACAGGTAGCTCAACCAAGAGGGCTGTGCAGTAGAGTAGAGGTAACAGGGCTCAGATGGGGCTCTGAAAGAATGGTGACCACACTGAGCTCTGCAGCTATTGCTTCTGCAGAGGCCCTGGACTTTGAAAGAAAGCCTCTGTTTTAGGGCCTTGCCTGGTTAAGAGAATGGCTGATTTCTTTGATACAGAACATACTATGTCTGAAGGTGAGGTCTCATCCTTTAGATAAACAGGTAGCAGAAACTAAGCAGACCAGAGTCCAAATGCCAGCTATTATGTCCTGTGTAGCCTTAGCCCACTCACTTCACCTCTCTGAGCCCTGGATTCCTCATCTCTCAGTGGACAGTAATATCCACTTGCAGACATCAGTACAGGTAAAGGGCATCACGGAGTAGGTGCATGAGTGATGCCTGGTGTTCTCAAGCCACACCTGAGGCCCATGGAACAGTGTTTACATCCTGGGGATTTTTATTAGAACCAGTTCTAAGGTTTGCCATCCAAACCTTGAAGTGAGGCATTGGTCACCTCTTTGTCTAAGTTTTTATCCTCTCCCTGCCCGAATTGGGTAGAAGACTTCCAGATGCTTAAACAAAGCCACACATTTGGACTTTTAACTGAAGTGATGGAATCTTTAAGTATCTGCCACTCTCATTCAAGTCCTTGGCTTGATGATGCGCCTCAGTTTGGAAGAAACATCCCTAAACAGAAGTGAACTAATCTAGGGACCCATCTATCTCATAAACTGAATCAAAACTCTTCTCTGCCAGGACATCAAAGTGGATTTATTTGTGTGTGGAATCATGCCCCTTGACATTAATTTACCAATTTGATTCTTCCTCCTGGAACCTCATCACCACCTGCCCTCCTTGACCTAAACCCCTCAACACACAAACACATATATACACATACAAATATGTACATTGCCTAGTAAGGGAAATAACCTTGCAAGTGCTACATTAGTCTCATATTTATGGTTTTAAACATAAGTGTGGTCTTTAAAATGAGATGTAGTGATATTTTCTGAGTGTTTGATATAGTTCTCTTACCTCTTCCAGGAAAAACAGAAGCCTATTTGGAAGCCATCAGAAAAAATATTGAATGGTTGAAGAAACATGACAAAAAAGGAAATAAAGAAGGTAGGACTGAGTGTGCAAACCTCACCCATTTGTCGGGGGCTCTTGTTATATAAAAATTCCCACAGTCAAATTGACTCTGCTAAAGTCTCCCCTCAAAGTCCAAAAAAGACTGATGTCATCCTGTCAGATGCAGAGGGGAACAGAATCTCCATTTATCTTATTATTCAAATTAGCCTTTCAAGTAAAGGCATTTTCTTTTCTTTTATGTTTTATTATGAAAAAGGTAAAGCAAATATGGAACTAATAGCATAATTAAACTCTGTGTCTCCAGCACCCATCTTCAATGTTGCCAGTCTTGTTTTATCTAGCCCCTCTTTCTTGGAGTATTTTAAACAAAGTTATTTTCTGAGCACATATTTTGTACACCCTGCAGTCATAAAAGCAGTCACTTATATAAAGCAAAACACAGAACCAGGCCCTGTTCTGAGTGCCAGGAATGCCCCGCTCAAGGAGTGCACAGCATCATTAGAGCTATGGGTGGCCCTGCTCAGTGATGTCATGGATAGGTGTGCTACTGCCAAGGAGGTGAGAAGATGGAGCAGATCTTCATACTAGAACAGAGACAGTTGAGAGAAGGGCCACAAGAAAGCCTTCCCTGAAAAGTTAAGGATGATCTGCTGAGTGAGGAGAGATGGAGGCAGAGGGAACACTAGGTACTGAGACATAAAGGGACAAAAGAGAGGGGTTGTTCTGGGAACTGGAGCCATTCATTTCCCCGGGAACACTGGATGTTTGTGGAGAAGAGCAGCCAACAGGGTTGGGTAAGTGGGCAGTGGCCATGCCGGGAAGATGTTTGTGCACCCTTCAGAGGAGGTTGGTTTTAGCCAAGGGAGCCTAAATTGGGGCCTAATTAGGTTAAGAACTGAGAAATCCATCTGGCTGCAGTGTGATTACAGATTGAAAAAATAAGATCCCAGAAGGCAGGCGAGAGATAAAGAGGCAAGACAGAGGGAGAGATCTGGAGCAGAAATATGGGGCTTAAACCAATGGACAATGGAGGAAATAAAATGGAAGGGAGGAACTCAAGAGCTACGTGGAGAAGGGGGATTCTGACATGATTCCCAGGTATCTGGCCAGAGCAGTTGCAACGTGATGCTTTCCAAAGAAACAGGTAATGCTTCTCCAACTTTAAAGTGCATCCAAATCACCTGGGGAACTTAAATATCCCCCTGCCCGGGTTGCACTGTAGCACTACTAAATCAGAAATTCTGGGGACAGAGCTCTGGTATCAGTATTTTTTCAACTCCCAGGTTATTCCAGCATGCAGCCAAGTTTGCAAACCGCTGAGATACAGCAGAGAGAGAGAAAGAGGTATTTTCAACACCCTCTTAGCTTGGGTGTTCTAAATGTAATGGTTAACAGTTATCAGGTATTCATGCATACTTTATTTGGTTCAAAATAATTTTTTGAACCAATTTTAATGTCAGTTACATTAAAATTTACATGAACCATATTTCATCAAATTTATCATTGATTAAAAATGCACCATTGTTTTATGTGCCATTAAATTACAACATGCCATCAATGACTGCAAAGACTTTAAAATGTTCATCTTAGAATCATTGTAATACCCTGTGTACCCAAATACATTCCAAAGCCATGGTAAATTGTATGGTACATCAATTTGGAGGATTTGTTACTGCTTTCACTGATTAACATATGAATCCGACTCCTGGTCATAATCAACAACATCTTGCAATTCAATTCCCATTCCAAAAATGACCAACCTGGTGAAGCATGGAACTCTGGCGCTTGCATATGGAAGGCTCTGTTAGCAAACTTCAGAATAATAGTGTAGGTTCGATGTTTCCTTTTGTCTCTGGGAAATATGCAGTATGCTCTCTTGAAAACAGAAACAGAGAGCTCTTTCTCCACTGCCCTCATACGCGCTCTGCTTGACTTGGAGTTGTCTCTCAAAGCCTGTGGGGGATATAGTTTCTAGGGCTATGCAGTGGCTGCAGCTGTATCAGCAGGGAAAATTACTATTAGTCCTGACCTTTGTTAACCATGGTTTCTCCCCACCACCAAGCAAGCAATCAATTCTGTAGCCAACACCAGCTGGGTGCCCACCAATTCAATTTAATTCCAACACTACCTAGAGATAGCCTCAGACACCACAGGGTGAGGGTGCAGTCCCCAAAGATGGCTTCTTCCTTCCCATCAGTTGCATGTCCAGGCCTTTGGAACAGCTGACTGACTGGCTTCAAGTTTCAACTTTCACAACCTCCTCTTAGAGTTCAGTTAATTTGCTAGAGTGGGCCTGGCGTGGTGGCTCACACCTGTAATCCTAGCACTTTGGGAGGCCAAGGTGGGAGGATTGCTTGAGGCCAGGAGTTAGAGACCAGCCTGGTCAACATAGCGAGCCCCCTGTCTCCACAGAAAATTTAAAAATTAGCCAGGTGTGGTGGTACACACCTGTAGTCCCAAGCCACTCAGGAGGCTGAGTCATTTACGGCTATAATTGCTTAATACTTTAAAAATCAAGGGAAAATTGTTTTTTTTTTTTAAAGCTTTTGGAAAGGTTTCATAGGCAGCCTTCTTACTTACATTGCTTGAGCGCAGCCGTGAGCCATGATCATACCACTGCATCCAGCCTGGGTAAAAGAAAGAAAAAAAAAAGATTGCTTAGAATTCAGGGAAATGCATTTACTGATTTATTAAAAGGATATTTTAAAGATACAAGTAAACAACCAGATGAAGAGATACATAGGGTGAGGTCTGGAAGAGTCTGGAGTACAGGAGCTTCCATCCTTGTGGAGCTGGGGTGCACCACCCTTCTGGCATGTGAATGAGTTTTTGTTCATGTTCCTATCAACCTCCACATGTTAACCTATCTGGAAGCTCCTGAACCCTGTCCTCTAGGGCCTTCATGGAGACTTCGCTGGACAGGCATGATTGACAACCACGCAGAAATGTGATTGGACAAAAAGGGCATGGCCTAAACCCAGCAAGGCCTGTCACTTCAGATTCTTCATGGCTTCTCTGTGATGCAGCCTTCCTCCAAGATTTGGGGCAGAGCCCTCTGTAGAGCAAAGGTCTTATGAACCACAATCAGATTAGAGTCCTGCTTTGGGCAGGTGAAAGGAGGGCAGGTCAGAGGGAGAGAAAGAGTCTGCCTCCTGAGACCTTCTTCTGAGTCCCTAAGTGCCCCAACATTATGACAAAAAGCTGTAACAGGGGCTATGGGAGTTATAAGTCAGGAATCATGGACAAAGACCTATATAGATAGATGATAGAGGATAGATGGATGGATAGATAGCTAGATAATGTCATACCCTATAACCTCCTGGGGAGTAACTAAGGTGATTGCTGTAAAGTGCTCAGTGCTTGGAGTTCTCTTTCAATCCTCATGGCTGTGCCCTAACAGGGAGCAGATGTCCTGCTTGCTGGAGAGGAAATAAGCCCTGTCTAAGCCTCACTCACTTAGTGATTGTAGAGAGGTCCTTCATGCTTCATTCTCCTTTCTCACAGAAGCTTAAGGATACTCAAGTAACCTAGGCTCAGATTACATTCAGGCTCACTAAGGGTGGCTGCTAAACCACCCTTTTATACCTGCTCTCTCCTTTCTCTCCCCCTTACCAACTAACAGAAAGCAGAGGTCTATCTGGTCATTTACAGCTATAATTGCTTAATACTTAAAAAATCAAGGGAAAATGTTTTTTTTTTTTAAAGCTTTTGGGAAGGTTTCATAGGCAGCCTTCTTACTTGGAAATATCTATTTTTGGTGGATGTTTTGATAGTTTATATAGATTTTGTTGGTTTAAGTAGGACAGAGGAACCAAAAAGAGTTTACAGTCTGGCTTTTTGCTCCTTGCATACAATTCAAACAGCATGAAATAAAGTAACTCTTAATTTGAAAAAAGAGTGGGTTGTCACATCCACAGGGTGTTAACTTAGGGTCTAAGTCAGGAAGTCAGAACACCTGGTTCTAATCATAACTTTTACTACCTATGTGACCTTGAACAGGGCACTTAACCCCCGAGTGTGGTTCCTGGACCAACAGCATCAGTATCACCTGACAGCTTGCTTCCAATGCATAACCTGGATCCTCACCCGAGACCTACTGAATATGAATCTGCAACTTCCCAATGGTCCCGGGTGATTGGTATAAACATTAAAGTTTGCAAAGCCCTGGTCATGAGCCTATTTCCTCTTTGGTCAAATGGGGATGATATGACCCACCTGAACATCTCACAGGGTTGTGATGAAAAGATGAGATAATACACATAAACATTATTTTATATTGCAAAATACTGCACAAATGCCAAGAATTAAAATGTCTCCCAATGTGAAAGATGGAGAATGGTAATTGTGTTATTGTATAAAATAACTCTCAGTTAATGGCAATCACTGTAATGGGATTGGCCTTTCCTGATCTTTGCTCATGATGCTCTAATAATATTTTCCAGACTATGACCTTTCGAAGATGAGGGACTTCATCAACCAACAAGCTGATGCTTATGTGGAGAAAGGCATCCTTGACAAGGAAGAAGCTGAGGCCATCAAGCGCATTTATAGCAGCCTGTAAAAACGGCAAAAGATCCAGGAGTCTTTCGACTGTTTCAGAAAACATAATATAGCTTAAAACACTTGTAATTCTGTGATTAAAATTTTTTGACCCAAGGATTATTAGAAAGTGCTGAATTTACAGTAGTTAACCTTTTAGAGGTGGTTAAAACATAGCTTTCTTCCCGTAAAAACTATCTGAAAGTAAAGTTGTATGTAAGCTGTGATTTTGTAAACGGAATCCTTATTTCCTCATAGACTTATATTTTATCATCAGAATATGTTGCTTTGAAAAAGCCTCTAATGGACCCTAAAGCTCACCCTTCTTCCCACTGTCTCATCCACACAAGCATTTCCTGAAGTATTGAAGGGGTTCTGTTTTCAAGGCAAGCCAGGTACCAAAGCACCTTGCAGAATGTGTCTGTTACAAGATGTCGTTTCCACTAGCAGTTCCCTTTGGAGAGCTGACATAAATTCACATTTTCTCACAGTCTCAGAGCTTTGGAAGAGCCATCTGCTTTTTCGGCTGCTCTTTTTATCTGGTTCTTTATTAGGCCCAGTGACACAAAAAGGATCCAGATAAATGGGGACAAAATTTGCTGGATTTACTAACAATTTCCCCCTGCTCTTAACACTTCCTATTAGTGACTTTTCAGACACTGAGTTTACTTGTCAAGCGGGATATTTATGTCCTCTCTAAGAAGACAAATGAGGTCATAAACACTGCATAAAGCAAGACAAAAAGGTATGCCCCATCTCAGTTATCTAAACTGGATTAGAACCAAGCCAGGGTTTCTCAACAGAGAGCAAAGGATCAGGCAGTAGGATAGAAATAGAGAAAAAGATCATTCCTTCCTCGTGATCCAAAGCTGGTAGAGCAGCTTCCCTGGAGGAAAAGGTTAATGAACTTCAGGTCCCAGCAACTCAGCCCCTGTCACAAACACAGCCCCAGAAACAAACATACAGTGGTCCAAGGTCCTCTTGAAATGCTGACAGTTAATGTTCCCAAACCAGAGAATGCTTTGAAAATGTATTATTCAGTGTAAATTAATTACATACATATTTTCTATATATTTGCTTCAAATCGTAAAAATAGCATAATGCTTTGTGTATTAGCTGTCACTATAACCATGTTTCAAATGGTCTTCTGACACCTGCATTGCTGTCCTGAATGCCCCTTCCTGGTATGCCACCTTTTGGTGGGGACTGTAGGGAAAGGCTGTTTTTCACGGGTAGGAGATGGCTGCCGCTTCTCCCATCCTCTCCGGAGAGTTGCAAAAACAAAAGCCAAACCCTGACACACACACACACACACGCAAAATAAACTCAGTATGTTCTAGAGAAGCCAATACCCATCCATGGGTGGAGACAGGGAACTAAAAACACCTTTGCCCAAATAACACTTGCCAAAACACAGTGAACCGGACTGTTTCCATGAGTCATCTTTGATAACATGACCGACTGAATCAGCTGAACCCAAACAGGCTGCATGCATGTCCATCAGACAATAAACTGGCACTGGCTAAAGCATTTTATCCATTTGCTTTTCTGTAATGGATCTACACACCTATGCAGTATTTTTGAAAATAAGAATGTACTTAGGGAGTTTATTGCAGTTCTTAAAGCACATTGGCATTCATTAACTCCTACCCACAACCAAAACAAAAGGAAGATCATCAGTCCTGTTTTATAAATGAGGAAACTGGTTCACAAACGGAACAAAAGCCCAGGATATGCTCCAGCTCGTGTGACCAAGAAATGGTAAAGCTGGGATAGAACCTAAGTTTCTGGTCTCTCAGCCCATTCCAGTGATTCGATGCGCAAGGTAGGGACTGAAATACTCAGTCTGGAACAGTTCAACTGTGGCCACAAAGAATTCCAGGTTACTAACAACTTGAAGATGAGCAATGTTTTGGCTAGAGAATGCAAAGAGAGACCGTAGGCAGAAACAAAATACTTAGAAAAAAAAATGTTTTTGAGATTGTGGTCTTAATTTCAAAAGTCTTTTGGATGACTCTCAAATTTCAGATCACTTTATGTTCAATAACAGGATTAACTCTACATTTTTAATGGTTCCTAGGTCACCACAGAGGCTTGTTTGAACCTTTTCTTACATACATACCTGTTTTCCTTCCCTCACGTTTTTCATTTAGGTCTCTCTTCATCCAACTAACTCCCCACAGTTCAGGTAATGAATACAAGAAAACAGCAAAGCATGATCAAGAGAGTACCCTATTTAAAAAAAAAAAAAACCAACACACACCTTTTTTTGAGATGGACTCTCGCTCTGTCACCCAGGCTGAATTGCAGTGGCATGATCTCTGTTCACTGCAACCTCCTCATCCCAGGTTCAAGCAATTCTCCTGCCTCAGCCTCCCAAGTAGTTGGGATTACAGGTGTGTACCATCATTCCTGGCTAATTTTTTGTGTTTTTAGTGGAGATGGGGTTTCACCATGCTGGGCAGGCTAGTCTCAAACTCCTAACCTCATAACCCACCCACCTCGGCCTCCCAAAGTGCTGGGATTACAGGCATAAGCCACTGTGTCCGGCCAGAGAGTACCCTATTTCAAAGATGCTATAACATGACAAAAAAAGGTAAGACACAAAGGATTATATATGTTATGAACAAACAAGAAAATCAGCAAGACAAGGGCTGACAGCTACTGTTTCCCATTGATGCAGCAGTTGGTCAGCCTTAGGGTTTGGAATTGTATAGTTCTAATTCTGCCAGCTCTGATGCATTAACACCTAAGGGCATTTGTTTCTTGCTTACTGGATGACCTGAAGAAGTGAGACAGAAGAAAAGAAAATTAGGGAAGATAAAAGAGAGGAGAAAAAGTAATAAAAAGAGGAAAATGAAATTATTTTTGCTATGTTGAGATGGGGTAGATATGGGGAATTTCAGTGGAAGCCTAAAGATTAATGTAAGAGGTGAACAGAAATCGAGACCAAAATGATATATAATTATAAATGATATATTGCTTAGAGTGTACTACTGTAAACTATACATAAAGACCAATGAAATTATGGGAATACAAATCTCTCAATTCAAATAAGTACAAGATTGCCAAACACTCTGTAAAGTAACCTAGCAATGAAATCTAAACTAGAATTCTGCAATATAATAGCAGGTTATGGTATTATTTATTTGTTCTTTTGATTTATTCCATATTTTCACTATATCTGAATCACATTAGGTCAAGATTACCAGTAACTGTAATTGATTCACTTTTAGATTAATACTTTTTTCAAAATTACATTTATAATAATAAAAACCATTAAAGTGAAGAAGGAGCTATCACCATTTAAATGTATAACATAAACGTCAATTTTATTTTCTCATTTATTAAAAAAAAATTAAGACTCAAGTTTGAAAACATAGTTTATTTTCTCATTCAGACTTTTGTGGTTTATTTTTACAAAATAGCAGACAAAATTTGGTTCTTTATATTAATACAGAATATGTAAGATATATCGAAATATATATATATGTGTGTATATATAGCACTTAAGTTATAAACACACAGCTAATTCAGCATCACTTAAACAGCAACCATATTTTCACATAATCAGGATTGCATAAGGAGACAGACATTATTTTTAGCCTAAATATATAAATAGGTCTCTGATGCTTTATGTCAATTAGTATTTATAAAAGCTAGTCTAAAAACTAACGCTACCTACAAAAGTGATGAGCTTTAGGATACAACCTTGCCATCATGCCGTAACAAAGACTTAAAATTATAGAAAGCCAGAGGGAACTAATCACTTCAGTGCAATTGCAGCAGGTAGAACTACCTAGTTATGATTTTAAGATGAACACTATGGAGAATCCAGAAGGGATGTTTTTGAATCTTCGTTTGTTGGATTCTTTACGGTCCAAACATATCTTAATTTTGGTTTCAATTATGTCCCCAAATCACCTAACTGTGATAGAGGGAAGTTGCATAGGGACTTTCTTCATCTCTGAAAGAAAATAAATACAGCATAAATCAGTATTTAGAACTCTATTCAAAAACTAAAACATAAATATATTATACAATGTAATATCTACTTGCCAAAGAAGGAATATATCAACTTAGAACACTGTTCATGCCTAGAAAGTTGGATGAAATGCCAATACTTGAGACATACCTTACTGTCTCCATTTTATTTGTATCTCAGTTATTGGAATAAATAATGTCATTCATTTATGTGTTTATATTTGTTTATATTTAAATATATTTTAAGTCTATACTAAATTATATTCATATTTATATTTGTTTATCTTTTCTATATTCCACCTCTTTCTCAAAAGGATTCAAGGTACCACCAAAAGGCATATATATAATAATATGACTAAAATAGAAATAAAAACATCAGGACTAAGGAAAGAAGGAAACCAATGTATTAATCATAAGAAATATTATAGTAGCTGAACCCAGGTATCAATTTTAGTTGCAAGCTTCCCAGTAGCCAGAGCAAAAAAGGAAACACAGTAGATTGTGCTTTTTTGAAATCAAATCGTAAAGAAAAAAGGAAACCAATTTCATAGGAGAGAGAAAGGTTTATCCTAACACCAAATTTAAAAAACAAAGAAAAAAGCTCACATGAGATCTTATGTAGGAAACACCCAGTAACAAGTAACAGACAATGTCTTTGACAAGTTTTATAAAGATCAATATTTTACAGGTATTTTCTATGACACTGCTTCTCTTGAAAGTGTCAATGAGAGACATTTTACTTGGCTGCTATTCAGAATTGCTAGCTGGACAGTTATGCTACTAAAGGAAAGAAGCAAACTTTGTATAGTAAATAACAGGTAAAAACACTGCAACAGATAAAGCCTTCTGCAGCAGGCAGTAGCTCTGCTCAGAGTTTATACCAAAAATGCCTTTCTAGAACTAAAATGCAGTTTTTAAAGCAAAAAAAAAAAAAAAAAAAAAAAAGGAAAGAAAAGAAAGCAGAAAGATTTGGCCCAGCAAGAACATCTTAATAGTAATTTATTCAGACTTTGACATTTGTACCAGGGTATTCTTACCTACTCTCTTCTTTTAGCTTCTTGGCTGCCTGTGTGGATAATTTGATCTGCAAGTCAAGTCTCTGCAGGAAATCTCTGGCTGATACTTCCTCAGGCTGCATAGGCTGAACATCAGATTCTTGAGGACTGGGAGGCAGGAGGTCTTCCCCAGCCACCACTGGCTCCTCTTCCTGAGAAAAACTGCTATCAACAGTTTCATTTTCTGGAGAATCAATGGAGTTAAGTCCATTAAACAACAAAGGCTTCTCCGATATAACTGGGATGTTCAAAGTCTTCTTCAGAAATATACAGTCATTGGTAAACAGTTTATTGGCCCTTTTAATCTGTTCCATCTAAAATATAAAAAAGGAAACACAGAGTTACACATAACCAAGTTAAGGAGTAAGGTTTATTTTACAACACAGAACTACCAATATTCATAAGCAAAATGTGCACAATGCTTTCTTGGGATTTGAGACTCTTAATTCAGTTTCAGTAACCTCCCCAGATATCTCCAGTTATTTTAAGAGATGTTGGGAAATTGTTTCCCAATTTTAAAAAAAGGACAGAATAATTTTTCCTCACTATACTATTTCTACTACAAGGCAGCTTTTAATATCAGTGGACTTAAATCTCTGAAGTTTAAAAATGTAAAATTTTAGCACTTAATAAATTCCATTCTTGTTTTAACATCTCTATTATCTGATTTAAAAAAAAAAACTTACCATTGCTGCTATTTTACTTATGGAGTCCTTCTCATCATGCCCCTAGAACTGTGCTTAGTAAATATAGTTATCCCTTGGTATCCATGGAGGATTGGTTCCAAAACCCAAAGATGCTCAAGTTCCTTATATAAAATGGCATACCAGCCTGGGCAACATCGCAAGACCCCATCTATTTAAAAAGTAAATCAGCCAGGCATGGTGACCTGCACCTGTAGTCTCAGCTATTCAGAAGGCTGAGGCAGAAGGACTGTTTAAGACTGGGAGGCTGAAGCTGTGGTGAGCCATGATTATGCCATTGTACTGCAGTCTGGGTGACACAGCAAGACACTGTGTTAAAAAAAATTACTTATGTCTGATATAATGTAAATTCTGTGTAAATAATTGTTACATTGTATTGTTTAGGGAATAATGACAGAAAGAAAAGGCTGTACATGTTCAGTACAGATGCAACCATAGTAGAGCCTAACTACATTTTCAATCCACAGTTGGTTGAATTCGTGGATACTGAAGCCATAGATATGGAGGCCTCACCATATAACAGATACAGGAGGTAGGATAGACATAAGTATAAACCAGAATTTGAAAGGATGGCATAGGTAGGGCTGTAGTCATTAAGAAAGTCCTCCTGGGGAAGATGTGGTTCCACTTTGATTCTTTACCGCAGATAGACCTTGAAGAATCGGGAGATGTGGGATAGGTAAGAAAAGGAGGTGGGGGCCCTTTACATACAGTGTCTCATTCTTTTTTTTTTTTTTTTGAGACGGAGTCTCTCTGTCGCCAGGCTGGAGTGCAGTGATGCGATCTCTGCTCACTGCAACCTCAACTCAGGTTCAAGCGATTTTCCTGCCTCAGACACCCAAGTAGCTGGGATTACAGGCACCTGCCACTACACTTGGCTAATTTTTGTATTTTTAGTAGAGACGGGGTTTCACTATGTTGGCCAGGCTGTTCTTGAACTCCTGACCTCACAATCCACCTGCCTTGGCCTCCCAAAGTGTTGGGATTACAGGCGTGAGCCATGGCGCACGGCCCAGTGTCTCATTCTTTCTACGTTAGAGGGTACGTGGAGATCCACTTTATAAATAAACTCTTTATTTACTTACAAATAACTCTTTCTTGTGAGGTATGTAGCTGACAGTGAGGTGCAACAGCTAAGCACACAGGCTTTGGAAGCTGCCAGACCTTGTTCAGATCCCAGCTCCATCACAACAAACCATATGAACATGAGCTTGTTACTTATCTCATTTATCCTTTCTCCTCACAGGCCCATGTCAGAATCACTCAGACATAGAGATTATGCACCATGGAATCATCGTACAAATGGCAGACGAAGAGCTACAGTTTAACACAGGGTTTTATAGTCGGTGGATGCCTCCCACAAACCACAGAGATGGGGAAGGGAGGTGGAAGTGAAGAGGGAACAGAATTTACAAGCATTATCTTATTTAACCATCATAACAGGTCTGCAATCTAGATATTATCTTCTTTTTTTTTTTAATGTAAACAGAGACACAAGAAAGTCAGTAGCATGCCTAAATCCACAACACTGGTAAGTGCACAAAGGACTCAAACTCTGCCTACTCTTCTGTTCCTCACTCCGTATTATGTCTACAGATATCTCTACCCTACTAGCCTGGGGACTCACACCAAACCAGTCACTCTACAAGTACTGTAGCATCTAATTTTCCCCACAACTCTTTCTTGTAATGTATGTAGCTGGCAGTGAGGTGCAACAGCTAAGCACACAGGCTTTTTTATGCTGCCAGACCTGGTTCAGATCCCAGCTCCACCACAACAAACCATATGAACATGAGCTTGCTACTTATCTCATTGATCCTTTTTCCTCATATGTAAAACAGGTACCATCTACCTTTCACAAGGATTAAATGAGAGCTTATAAACTCACTCACATAGAGAATATATATATATATATATATATATATATATGAAACAGAGAGAATATATAAAAATACATGTATATTCCATACATACATTTCCCCATATAGATGTATATGTGTGCATGTGTGTGTGTATGTATGTATGTATATATATATATATATATATATATATATATATATATGAAGAGAGAGAGAAAGTAATGATTATAGGGTTTGGCAGTGGATGGTACACTACTCTCCATTTTCCAATGAAGAAATCAAAACACAAAAGAGATGGTAGATTTGACCAAGTACATAAGGCTCTTTACATAGATAAACTGGGATTTTGTCTGATGCTAAAGTCCATACAACATCTGGATTAAAGTGCACAACTAATGGGACCACATTATGGAGAACACTTAATGCCAAATGAATTCTGAGTAAAAAGAAAAAAATTATATTTCTACTTCAAAAAGCTTGCGAAAACAACTGTCAACGAAGTGGACCCTGTTCATCCTGCTTTATTACAAGCTGGTTCCATGCAAATAGCATATGCAAAGCTTTCTTTTTTCTTCTAAAGATACTCCATTAAAGGAATGATTTTTAAAAAGGATGGTCTTTTGTGTTCTAGTTTCTAGTTTATGGGGAGAAAGAGAACATAAACATGGGCAGGTGCCTTTTAAAGACAAAATTAAAATCTAAAAATCCCAGCATCTCTGACCTGGTTCCAGTTTGAGAGGGTTAATAACTTGGACACTCTGCCTATAGCAGGTTCAGGTACATGCTATTCTGCTTTTAGGACCCCTAGATCTTGCCCCTGAGCATCCAGCTGCCTCATCTCTCTTGGTACACAGGCTTCCAATGACACTAAGCCTCTCCTGGCTCCAGAGTGAGCATGTGACTCATTCCTGCCCTGTGGAGAATCACAGGCTTTTGTGATAGATCACAGGCCCATGTCAGAATCATTCAGACATGCAAGGAGACTTTTGCAGGGCCTTTGAGGGGTGAGTTCTCTACTGTGTTCTGTGTGAAGGAGACAGGCGGGAGATGCTGGCAGTCATCCTGACACTTTGTGGAATCTGATACTGAAGCCACCTTAGAGGTGAGAATTTAGACTTCTGGATCACAGCCTGAAGACAGAACATACTCAGTTCCAAGAGCCACTAAACTCCACTTGGAGTTTGTTTTTTGTTTAGGCCAATTTGAGTTAGGTTTTCTGTCACTTGCAGCTGAAAGAGCTCTTGCTGATACAGTGCCCTTTCAAATGCTTATTGGAAGGGGATAATTACTAATAGTTATTGCTTCCTGGGAATAATGACGGAAGACAGAAACAGATGGGAACACCAGGATCCAAAATGCTGAACAGAGCTGGGAACTGCAAGAGTACACTATGAATTCTTTCAGGGCAAGAACTGATTATTGCTATAGCCTCATAGTCTGACAAATATCTCATACACATTAAGTGCTCTGGATGGATGGATGGATGGAAGCATAAATGGATTAACACAGGTCAGAGCAGTGGGCACAGAAGACGAAGTAATCAGAAATGGGTAGCAAGTTTTCTGTTGTGCTTCTTATTCTCCTTTCAAACCTGCTCTCCCCTCCCAATCCATTCCCCACTCTTGAGCTTGTTCTAAACCCTAGGAGTCCGACTTTTTAAGAACTGCATGATCTAGGCATCCTTGATCTTGGAATTCTAGTTGGTTTTCTAATAGCAACAGAATGAGCTCACCATAACCAGTCGCTGCATTCCTTTCTGTTGAGAGTTCCTATCGGGAGTCCCATATCCAAGGCTCTAGATGTTGCCAGTGTTCCCTTGGACCTTCAGGCCTCGGGGTAATGTCTCCCTGCTATTGCTAAGCACCCCTGAGTGCTTCACCTTCCCTTATTGGTTTCCTTCACCATGCTCATACTCAGTAAATGTCTCATACTCAGCCACATCCTCTGAGAGTGTTTTCTGTATCCTGCTGGGATGCTGACGGATACATCTATCATACAGAGCACAGTAGGCCATCAAGGTCAGGCAAGGAGCCAATGCTACAGAGGACTATACAAGGTGACTGAGTCAGAGGATGCATGCAGTCAGGGAGTCCACAGGCAGTGAAGGGCAGGGCTTCCCCTGGCTTCTGTACATACTGCCGCACAAGTGACTCACTATAACTGGTCCATAAGCTTCCTGAAGTCAGGAGCTGCACCGTCTTCATCTCAATGTCATTAGTAAGCATTTAAGATGTATGTTGACCTTTAGGGTCTAGGCTTTAAGATGACACATGAGATGCCAGAGTCAAGGACACCAGGGATATCCAGACACAGTTAGTATCAAGGTGGGAACCAATCTAGGGACAGGGACAGATTTGAGTCTTTGAGTTTAATACAGGGTAGTACTTAGAAGCATGAGTTCAGGGGCCATACTGCCTGGGTTCACATTCTGGCCTTCCTACTTTCTAACCATTCCCTGTCTGTTTTCTTATCTATAAAGTAAGGACAGCAATAGTTCCTTCCTCTCAGTATGATCATTGTGAAGATTAAATGAATTAATTCATGTAAAGTATTTAGAACAACATATGGACTGGGCGCGGTGGCTCACGCCTGTAATCCCAGCACTTTGGGAGGCCAAGGTGGGCAGATCACTTGAGGTCAGGAATTTGAGACCAGCCTGACCAACATAATAAAACCTCATCTCTACTAAAAAAAAAAAAAAAAAAAAAAAAAAAAAATACAAAAATAGCCAGGCGTGGTGGTGCGCGGCTG